CCCCCCCCCCCCCGCCCCCCCCCCCCCCCCCCCCCCCCCCCCCCCCCCCCCCCCCCCCCCCCCCCCCCCCCCCCCCCCCCCCCCCCCCCCCCCCCGCATTGGAGGCCCGTATGTATTTAAAGTAGAATTTTGATGTGCGATTGGATATGTTGGGTGTATTTTGGGTGTAGGATCAAACTTTAGAGTAGCTAAAGGGAAATCATAAAATAACCTATACTTTGAACGACTCAAATAATCGTGTATATTCGTGCATCTTCCTCAGGCAACAATTTTATACCTGAACTTAGGTAGGTTTTGCTTAACCCTCAATTCACGCATCATCTAGGTAAGGCTTACAAGATACGAACCTAGTTTACTGTTGGTAATTGGTTTATATTAATTGGTTTTAGCCACCAATGATGGTAGGCAGTGATGAGTAGTTTGTCACCATTCAATGCCAACGCTGCTTGTTGGGTCAACATGGAGTGGTACATTAAGGACCTATAATATCCAAAGATAATAAGTGTATTTAAGGGGTTACTGACAAGCTCTCGTTGAATGGCTCTTAAGCAAAGTTGGTAAAACAGCTATTTGGTCGGGCCAAAACTGGATCGATGCTATTCGTTGAATTATCTCTAAGCCACTCGCTGCGCATTTTCGTCCTTTAAACAACCGTCTTTACCCTAGCTCTGTTATTAAATGATATATCATTTTAAGTTATCATTATCATAGAAGGTATTGCACCGTACACGCAATAGGTAAACGTAGCGAGCATATTAAATGGTGAGGCTTAAATTCCGGGCCTTTAAAAAAATTATTCAACTCGGGAAAAGGCCGTTGAAAGAATGAGGTGAGGTACCGCCACTGTGTATGGCATAATTTATTCACCCTTTTAAGCAATGTTTAAACCCACATATTATCGATTAATAAGCAGCGTTTAAATGGTTACCATAATTTTTAAAAGATTGCCGCTTTATTTTAGCTTGGTTTGTTACTTATTTTTAAAAGGAATTAAGTAAAAAGCGTTGTTATTATAAACAAGTAGTTTAAACTTAACTATACGATCAAACCTTAGTTATGAATAAATGTAGTTAGTTAGGTAGGTTAATCATATAGCTCTCAATGTTGTTGGACGGTCCTGAGACGGGATAAGCTTATAGCGAAATTGCGGGGCGGTCCAAGCATATAACGGGGTTTTCGGATGCCCCGCGCCCTCCGATGCCACAGTGCTTAAGACGGAGAAAAAGTTGGTGGGGTTCAAAAGTTCCGAGCTCTAAGTCTGATCCAGATTTCTTGACTCAAACAACCGAAAAGCTTTGCCTTAACTCGTCGCAAAATGGCTGCTAAAGCACCATCGGATAAGCTCCAAAAGCTCAGTAGTTAGTATTAAAACTAATATAATCATAGTTCAAATAATCCTCTAATATTCATTAGTGAGCGAGGGAGCCACCAACGGGAAGGCTGCCGCGGGGGCCAGCGGGACCAAGGACGGCGATGTTGCAGAGCATTCCGGTGAAGATTCCGAAGATGACGCCGATGATCAAACCGCTGAACCTGCGCCCGGGGCCGCTAAAAAGAAGAAGAATAAAAAGAAGAAGCCAAAGAAGAAGAAGAAGGCTCCTACCGCCCAGACAGACCCCCCAAGCGTCCTGATGTCCCAATTGTTCCCGAACAACACCTATCCTAAGGGTGAAGAGGTCGAATATAAAGATGAGAACCGCTATCGTACTACTAGCGAAGAGAAACGGCACTTGGACAACCTGGACACCGACTTCCTGATTGACTATCGCCATGCTGCCGAAACACACCGTCAAGTTCGCCAGTGGGCTCAGAAGAATATCAAGCCTGGTCAAACCTTGACCGAGATCGCTGAAGGGATTGAGAACAGCATCAGGCGCTTAGTTGGCCACGATGGGCTATCGGAAGGTGACGCTAAGGTTGCCGGAGTTGGCTTCCCGACGGGCTTGAACTTGGATCACATTGCTGCCCACTACACCCCGAATGCCGGGAACAAGACTGTTCTGCAGCAAAGCAACGTCATGAAAGTAGACATTGGCGTCCATGTCAACGGGAGGATCGTCGACAGTGCCTTTACCATGTCGTTTGACCCGATGTATGATAACCTGCTGGCAGCCGTAAAGGATGCAACCAACACGGGTATTAAGGAGGCGGGCATCGACGTCCGTCTCGGGGAACTTGGTGGATACATCCAAGAGGCCATGGAGAGCTACGAATGCGAGATCAACGGTACTACATACCCGATCAAATCGATTCGTAACCTCACTGGCCATACTATCTTGCCGTATAGCATCCACGGGACCAAGAGTGTACCCATTGTTAAAACGCAAGACAACACGAAGATGGAAGAAGGCGACGTCTTCGCTATCGAGACGTTTGGCAGTACCGGAAACGGTTATGTCCACGACGAGGGAGAGGTATCTCACTATGCTCTACGTAGCGATGCCCCCAAGGTCGACCTACGTTTGTCCTCGGCTAAGTCTCTTCTAAATGTTATCAAGAAGAACTTTGGTACTATTCCATTTGCACGAAGATATCTAGACAGACTCGGCCAGGAGAAATATTTGCTGGGGGTAAGCATTCTAATAATCCACACATATTTGAATAATATTAACCGCGCATTAGCTGAACAATCTCGTCCAATCTGGTATTGTAGAGGATTACCCTCCCCTACTGGACAAGAAAGGGTCGTATACAGCCCAATTCGAGCACGTGAGTTTTTCCTTGCATTATGATTATGACGTAGATGTTGGTTGTGCTGATCTGAGGTTACAGACTATCTTGCTTCGACCTACCGTAAAGGAGGTCATTAGTCGTGGAGATGATTACTAGATAGATTGACGAGTTGGATGACAACAACGGGTTAGTAACTCATACTACAAAGGCGACTTGTTCCTTGATAGGCTAGTGCCATTATCCCAGTATTCCAATATGAAAGAATTTTTGATCTTTGGGGTTATTGTTCCTTGTCTGAGGGATATGACTTGCAAAAAGAGTGAAGTGATTCTTGACAGAATGAACAATGTCGGTCTTGTAGGGTTGATATCGAAGTCGCAGATATCAACTTGAAGCTCACCTTACTCCGAGTTCCTGTATCGGGTAATTGAGATCTCACCTCAGTTGGACTAGCAGACTACTTACATAGGTAAGTGGCGGTGGAGACAATGACGTTGGACCCTATCACCAGAATATAGTACAGAGTAGGTATTCTTAAAGCCGATCCTATCGATAAATTGATAGCCCTACCATGTATGTACTATGTATGTATGTAGTTATTAGGGTTTAATCGGCTATGAAGTGATATCACGGATCGATCAAGTACATGGTCATTAATTAGGGTCTGGGTTGGGGTTGAAGTCATAGAAATGATCATAGGAGAATCGTCGAGATTGTGAGAGGCTCACCGGTCGTGGATCCAGCCCCAGCAGATCATCTCTGTCATATGCAAAAAGTGACGAAGCATTAACAAAAGTCTGGACGCTCAGACGCTTCGTCGACTCCGCACCTGCTCCAGGTTTTTGGGCACTTGGCCTAAGCTCGGAATCCACTTAGCGTCCATTCAGGGACTAACCAGCCAATTAAAAATTTGAAATTTGATAAAAAGCTTTGACGCCGTCTCCGAACTATTCTCTGACCTGGCAAGGCTAATCCTAATTAGGATGTCTTAGCGAGAAGAACTGTGTAAGGGGACATATGTACACTAATGGACATAAGGGACAGTACCGAACATTGCCGGGAAGGCAAAAAAGGAATCCGCGATAAGATTCCTTGTCGCCAATGCCGATCGGGCAGTCGGGACCTTTGCATTGAAATTTTCTCAAAAGCCTCTGCATTTCCTGTCAATTTAATTCGCATCTTACTTACCTAAACAACTTAAAATAACTTAAACCAAAATCCCTCGACACCCTTAGCATTCATTCAAAAAATTTCTAAGAGTTTGGCCATTCTGCCACATCACCATCATTTATCGTGTCACGAGCGATTTTTAAATTGTCTGTGTCCGTTTCGTCACAGTACCTGATTAGCACGCGAGACATTTTGTTCGGTGCTTTTTGAAACCGCTGCGATCCTACAGAATTTGTTATCTCGGTCCGCACTTTCCGACCGACATTGCATACTTCCTCTGCTATACCTCAACGGTTGAACGTCCGGACGGACTTTTCAAAAGTAAAATAAAAAATAACTACATCCGTAGTTTTGAGTCTATTCCTTGAGGAAGGGTTCTTTCATCCCTTAACCATCCCAACCATCAATCCGGCTCGTATTGGGATCATCCGTCAGAGATGAAGGTCTTTTCCAATACCCACACCTTCAACTACTCCTGGGAAGAAGTATCCACCGCAAACTGGCGGAAATACTGCCCTTGGAACGACAAGTCCACCCACGTCATAGCCGTCGATACACTCGCTCGAGAAGTCGATCCAGCCACTGGTATATTACGAACAGAGCGTCTCATCACCTGTAAGCAATCAGCACCGGAATGGCTGAAATCTATCATCGGCTGCATGGAGACGAGTCAGGTCTTCGAGACGTCCTATGTTGACCCCGCCGCAAAGACCGTCACTATGGTATCGCAAAACATCACTTGGGCAAATATGGTCAATGTTCAAGAGACGGTGGTTTATCGCCCCCTAGATGCCCATAGGACGCAATTCGAGCAGGACGCACGGATAACAGCCCTTTGCGGTGGTTGGCAGAGGATCAAGACTAGTATCGAAGACAGCCTGGTTACCCGCTTTCGAGAAAACGCGACAAAGGGTAAAGAAGGCTTCGAGTGTGTCCTTGCCATGAGCCGACGAGTCTTCGCCGAGGAGCGGGAAAAGGAGAGGCTACAAGTTGAAGGCAAGATGATGGCGTAGGTCTAGGAATTTGGTAACCTGCCAGTTCATTTCATCAAATCACGACCACGACGTCCATCATAAGCCATACGACGAGTGGGATAAACAACGACATACCATATCCATAACAAGAGCATTTCCGGAGTACTGAAGAGAAAAAAAAAATTAGGGGTGGTGAAGTTGACTTGAATTTTTGTTTTCGAAAAAGCACGGCGTTCCGGCATACCCAACAACCAAACTGTGTTGCATAGAAAAGAGGCTATTTAGATGGGTTACGTTCTGGTATAGGCTGTAGGCGATTTGCCTCGCCGCGACGACCGAACGAACGGGAGCACACATATTAGACTTAGATATATAAAGAATACTCTTCTTAGAGTATGGGATAAAGATAATCACTCTTCTCCTATTGATTTATTAATTGTCTTTTAGCTGGCTTATAGACTTGTGAACTGCAATAGTAGTATTTTGTGGTAAACTTTTATGTAGCGGGGGGTATCAGCCTTTTTAGTCTTCTCTTCATCTATGGTTATACTTTCTCATTACATTTCTTTTCATAATACCGTAGCAACTTCTTAGTATCCTCGTCAAGCCCAGATGGTCCCTTTTCCTTAATATTTTCACTCTCATCCCCACCTAGAATAGCTTGCGCAAGTTTCGCGCCCTCGGAGTACCGCCGGAAGAAGTATAGTTCTTCAACCGCGTGTAGTAGGGCTTGAGCTTCGGGTTTGGGAACCCGGCCTGGTCCTAGGGGGAGTTGGATGGTTTTCCATATCTGTGATGTGTTAACTCATTGAACTCATTTTCTTGTATTACTTCTATCCCTGAACAATTTCTACCGTTGTATCATTGCATTTGCACTTGCATATGGAATGAAAAGTGTGCACGTGCGAGCGAAGGTGTAAGTGTTAATATACGTACTTCTCCGTTTTCAACTTTAACTCGGTACTCCCTCTGCACGGCCTGAAATTCTTCCTCCGACTGGGCCGTCCGGTCCACGGGCGTGCTTGCTCCTCCTTTCTTCGGCCGAGTCCCTTCAGCGGGTTCTGAGTCGTTGCTTCCGTCCTCGGAGTCGGACAGCTGGATACCGAAGAGGCCGGAATCGAGATCCGGATCCATTGCGGGGAAAACGGTCTATTTGGAGCTTAGTGTTCAATATTATAATTGACGATTTGCACGGGGGTTAGGAAAAGGAGAACTGGATTTAGAATTGCGTCTCGTTACGTTGACGGGGGAAATTGCTTTGGTGCAACGAGATATTGCAACGAGATATTAGACGAAGTTTGCTTCGGCTTTGACATCAGCGCGCGTCTACGGATTACTTCTTCCGTTAGTGGGGCATAAAGCTTCCGCGCCCCGGGTGAGGGGATGGGCCAATGGGGTTGGTTATAAGAGTTGACTTAGACAAGGAACTTGACAACTCCAAATGCGAGATCTAGTACCTTGTTAACACAACATATATCTGCGTATCATAAAGATCTGTGATACTTGTTTAAACTGCTTTATTTGACTTTAATTCAAGTGTTTCTTTTTATTCTTTTTATAGATATTATATTCAGTTGCAACCTCGTTATAGAGAGAAATGGAGGACCAGGTAGCTCATCTCGTGGATAAAACATGGGAGAAATTCCAGCAGCTGTCTGCGGACCGTCGGTTCTGTAAGTCACATGGAATATGATCCTAAACTGCTTCTTATATCTCTAACCTATGATATTTTCAGTGATCGCCATAGCCGGCATCCCAGGCTCAGGTAAGTCTCCCCCTCCTATACTACAGAATACACACTAACCAACCCCAGGCAAAACAACCCTCTCCCAAATCGTTACCGCAGCCCTCAACGCGCGGCATGCAAGCCTGCACCCAGAAGTCCCCGAGGCCGTACCGCCCGCCGTCTTCGTGCCCATGGACGGGTACCACTTAACGCGGGCGCAGCTATCCGCCATGCCGGACCCGGCTCTTGCCCACGCGCGCCGCGGCGCCGAGTTCACGTTTGACGGGCCCGCATTCCTGGCCCTGGTCAAGGCGCTGCGTACTGTGCCGCCTCCGCCTCTGCAGCCGGTGTATGCGCCGAGTTTTGATCATGCGGTTAAGGACCCGAAACCGAATGATATCGCGATATTGCCGGCGCATAGGATTGTGGTTTTTGAGGGGAATTACGTGTGCTTGGATAAGGAGCCGGTATGTGTCTCACCTCAGGAATTCTTTGTTATTTTACTCTTACTGGCTTGCCTCGAGAGTCAAATTACTTCCAGGATATTCTAGTACCCCTAGCTTAGAGAGATGATTGCTAACCCGTACTACTCCAGTGGCGCGAGGCTGCACAGCTGATGGACGAGAGGTGGTTCGTCGATGTAGACTTTGAAACGGCGAGGAGGCGACTAGTGAAGAGACATGTCGAGGCCGGGATTGCGAAGGGCGAGGAGGAAGCTGGTAAACGTGCTGATGAGAATGATCTTGTGAATGGAGCGCAGATTGTAAAGGAGAGGGTTGATGTCCATGAGATCATAAAGAGCAAAGAGGATGGGAAGTGGGTTCATAAATGAGCAGCATATCAAGCGGAACATATTCTCTATATATATGTTAAAAAGAATCCTAAAATTTACACGTATTTGATGAAAGTAGCTTGCAAAGTGCTGCCTCTTGATACTCTTGATAGAATGAAGCGTGGTTCAGGGGTAGACCTGTTATTTGCATATGATACCCCTATACAACTAAATAAGATATGCAACTACCATAGAATAGCCCTTATCTTATCAGCCCCATAAAACTTTTGTAAAAGCTACATTCATTCTACAACTTTTCAACGTCGAATGAAGGCGAATACACATACCGGTGTGCCTTTCCAACAATAATACAAAAAATCAACTCAATTCGGAAACATCAGAACCATAATGGCAACCGCGGTTATGACCGAGGCTGAGCAACACCCCGCGCCAGAAACCAATGATTCTAGGAAGCGCAAGCCGCAAATCGACGAGATTGAGGTGGACTTGTCGCTACCAGAGCCTCCGTCAAAAAAAGCGAAGCGACTTCTCAAGAAAGGCAAACCCCTTCCCGAAAAACCAAAGAGCGACGACGAAGCTGAATCAGACGATGGGTTACCTATACCCAAGGGCGGCGCATCTAAAGGCGGGAAGGGAGATAAGAAATCCCAGCGCTCTGAACATGGCATATGGATAGGAAACTTGCCCTTTACCTTGACGAGGGTGGAATTGTTCAAATGGCTGGTGGAAAGCTCGGGTGGCATGATAAAAGAGGAAAATATCACAAGAGTTAATATGCCTACGAGTAAATACAACGGGGATAGGAGAGACGGCAACAGCGAGGATGCGCCAAAGACTCAAAATAAGGGCTTCGCATACGTGGACTTCAACGTGGAATCCGCATCTGTTGCCGCCATGGCGCTTACGGAAACAGAATTAAGCGGTCGGAAAGTATTGATCAAAAACTCCAATTCGTATGAGGGACGACCAAATAAGGAAACTGAGAATGGAACTGCTGCTGCCACCGGCGCTACAACAAACGGCAACCAGACGACAGCAGAGAAGACACCCACCAGCCGCAAAATCTACGTTGGCAACCTCTCATTCCAAACAACCGATGACGACCTACGCTCCCACTTTGATAAGTGCGGCGACATCGAATGGGTCAAAGTCGCAACATTCGAAGACAGTGGGAAATGCAAGGGGTTCGGATGGGTCAAGTTCAAGGAGCCAGCAGCAGCAGGATGGGCAGTAAAAGGATTCGTTAAAATCAAAGAAGAAATCGAGACGGAGGAAGATTTCCGCGATGCGGATGAAAAAGCCAACAGAGACGGAGAGGCGCAGGAGAAGAAGTTTAAGATGCGCAAATGGTGGGTCAATCGTCTCCGGGGGCGCGAGCTGAAGATTGAGTTGGCAGAGGATGACCAGGTAAGGTATAAGAAGAGATTCGGTAAGGATAGAGGTCTTCAAGGGGCGGGGAAGAGGGAAGGCGGCAGAGAGAGACCGCAGGGTGAGAAGAGGGAGCCTAGACCGGCGCGGAGGACGGATGGGGATGCGAATGCTGATAGGAAGAAGGATGGAGCGGCGTTTGGGGAGAAGAGCGAGAAGCCTGCGAAGCCTGCGAAGCCTAAGTATGGAGACGCGGGTGTGGCAACGTATCTTACTGGTGCTGTTGTTAAGCCTCAGGGCAAGAAGATTACGTTTGATTAGATTGTTCGGAATTGATGGATATTCCATCTTGTGTATGAATCCGTAAAGGGTGGCTTAAGTCTTCTATGTGATAGTTACATCGCTGCATGTAAGTCGCGAAATAAGAAATTATCACCTTTTACTTTTGTAATATTATGGTTTCTAAGATGCACTCTTGTGTTCCATCTAGTCAACATGACCTTCTACAGTTGAGATATCTAAATACCCCTCGGTTACTCTATTAACCTAGATTCTATTATTCATCTTCTTTTTTTTACTCTCAATATCTCTCTATTATCCACTCGCGCCGCTCCTCAGGCGTCATAGGCTCTAGCATTGCGAGCTCAGCCTCCTTAATATGGATATATCGCTGCACAAACTCAGGATCAAGGCCGAGGGTATCGTCCAAATAGAGCGCCTGTAGAGCTTCCCGCAAGTCTGCCGGAAACATCTTCTCGATACCTAACTTTGCCCTCTCTTCCGTAGTAAAGCGGGCGGGATCTCCCGCGCAGTCCTTCCAGGTCAATGGTGCCTTTCTCCGGACACCATCCGTGCCAGCAGTCAGAAGCGCTGCGACAGCGAAGTAAGGGTTTGCTAAGCCGTCAAGGACTTTAACTTCCCAGTGGCTGCCCTCAATCTTACGCAGCGGCAATTCCTTATTTTGCGTGCCCCAAGAGATCCATCTTCCACCTGCCCAGGCACTGTCCACCATACGCTCGTAACTCGTTATGTTGCTATTCGTAAAGGCGATGATGGCACGGAAATGTTCCAGGATGCCGGCGTAGAATGGCTCATAAACCTCCGGCTGGTCACCTCCGGGAGAGGAGATGGACATGTGCACGTGCGAGGCTGATCCGCATTTTGTTGCAAATGGCTTGGGATGAAGTGTCACCCGGAACCCGTGGCGCGCCGAGACGGATTCGAGAATCTGACGCGCATGCAGCACGCTGTCACAGGCTTCTAGCGGTGGTAGTGGTGACAACACAAGCTCGAACTGACCCGGCGCGTTCTCGGGATGGAACTGGTCGATTTCGATACCTGCTGCGTCCAGACTATCCAGGATCTCGTCAATGGCTGTGGCAAAGCTGCCCTCACGGCCCCAATCAGAGAATGCTCTTGATACCGACCAGCTGTGGCCGTCACTGCGTAGTGTTCGAAACTTGTCCAAGTTGGGTGCATCCGGATTGCGTTCCATGACGAGGAACTCGACCTCGAAACCGAGGAGGAAGTTCAATCCTTGATCCGCTGCTTTATTAACTGCATTGCGCAGGATCGTCCTCGGGCATAGTATCGCCTCCGAGCCGTCCAGTTCTGTGAAGTCTGCGTAACAGCTAACATGGCCATCGACAGGGCCTGATTTCAGACTCGACCAATCTGGATGGGCTGTGTACATGCCAGTCGCTGATACTTGGGGAATCATCACATCAACCTGCGTCATCCCAAAACTAGCTTTGGTAAGAGATACTGTCAGGGGTTTGTCACTCGACAGCGTCTTGAACACCTGCTTGATCGGGATAAGCCGACACTTGTTACTGGAAGTGTAGTCGTGCCAGTAGATGCGCAGATACTTGGCATTAAGGCTCTGAAGCTTCTGGATAACTGTCTGGTTACTCCAGTTGGTAGTTGAGACGGTTGATATCTGCGCAAGACTAAGGAGAGTAGATTTAGTCTCGAGTTTATAGAGCTTCTTGGAATTGGAAAACAAAATATCTTGAACGAGCTGCACGGCTTGTTTTTCTTGAAGCTGCTGAGTCTGGACCAAGTCTCCCAGCACCTGAATCGCGTCAGTAAGGTAGTAGGGAGAATCCACAAAGATAGGTTCGGTAGGTAGGTTAGGTACTTACCGTCTTTAGAACTGAGCGGAGCTGAGTCGTCGCGATCAAGTACATCTCCGGGAACCCGTGTCCGTCCGTGCTGCAGAGGATCTTAGACCACGGGCATAACTCTAGCATTTCTCTCAGGACGCTCTCCTGGCCATGACGGCTGATACAGGGGAACACCTCGCCGATATCAGCATAGACGTTCGGATACATAGCTGCTAGGTACGCCATCTCCCTTGTCCAAGGATAACCTGAGTGGAGAAGTACGATCTGGAGTATAGGATACTCTTCGATGAAAGCTTGTAGATGAGACGGCGATGACTTGGTCAGTGTAATGTCGTTATCGCCGAGGCCTGTGTGGAATTGGATTGGCTTTCCGTGTTCTTGAGCGATGGGAGCAACAGCATGAAGGATCAGGCTGTTGAGGGACGAATCCGCTATTCTCTTCCGCAGTGAAAACCCAGAAATGGGTGTTCCAGACGTCACCCCCGCGCTTATAATACCCGCAAGAGCGTTTCCCGCACCGTCCAAGTTTATGTCCTTCGAAAGAAAAAAGTCTAGCCCAGTCCGATAACAAACGATGGACTTGAAAGCAACAACATTGGGATCTGCAGCAAGCCGCCAAATCTCACCTTCCATCCGGGATATAAATAGTGCTATATTCCAGCTCGTAACAGAAGGATCACCGCCGATAAAGTGCTCGGCTATGATATCTGCTGCTACAGTCTCAATCCTAACGATGCGCTTGCATCCACTCCTGGTAAATTGGTCATGCCACGAATAAGTCTCGGCCTGCCCCTGCACATCCAGTCCGTCATCTATCAGAATAGTCTCGATGCCGTCAAGGCAGCGCTTGACCCAAGCATCGCGCGATTCGACTCGTTTCCGTTCAACAGCAGCTTCTACAGCTTCCCATGTCTGCTCGCAGCCGAGAGCACTAGATAGGTGTTTCACGGCCCGAAGATGAGCGAGGCTTTTCTTGGAGTCTTCAAGTGCGGCCCCGTTTGCTTCGGTAGCAATAGACAGTAAAGGGTGCTTACTCACGTTCTCGGCGGTGAGTAGCGGGTGAGCGTGGTTATCAATGAGGGGTGTGGTGTCGATAGCGGCATTGAGCAACTTCAAATGATTGTAGGCCAAGGTCATCTTGTTAGCTTTATTTCACGATCTATCTTCTTAGTGTTGGAATGGCCAAGTTGGTTAATAATGATATTGGGAAATATAAAGGGGAAATACGATAAAATGATTTAGGGCTGAATGTTTCGAAGTCGATCGACATGCCAGATGAGATTGGGGAGAGCACGACATTTGCTTATGCCAGGGGTGTGAGGCAAACGAATTAACCTAGGTACTATTTGTAGGCAGTGCAATAAATTGTCGATTCGGGATAGGCCATCGAAAGGATCATCCAATGAGAGCAAATCACCAGCTTTCGTCGTAACTGTTGAATCACCGAAGGAAGCATGTCATTATAAAAGAATAATAACGATAATGTCATATATAAAGACTTAACTTTCGGCTCCTTGGTAAATCTATAGAAAGTATCCCCTTTAGGAGGGCTATTAATTAATCTAGTCATCTTATTATATTACACGATCAAGACTCTTATAACTTGCTTTTTCCTCGCCCCCTATTGTCAACAATCGACACTATCTAATTGATCCTATTAACCTTAGGTACGTATCTAGGAACCATGTATAATTATTTTTATATGCTAGATTGAATACACTCAGCTACTTACTTAGGTGTATAGATATAGATATCGTTTATGTGCGTTCGATGCAAGTGCTGCTCTTCCATATACCTATGCCTTCTCGCAGCGTATTATTATCTACAGTGAATCGAAGATTCTTCATATGTTTGCCAAACTACCTGGGTATATACTATATATTACATTCCACCCCAAATCCACCAAAGGGTTGCGCCTAGGCACGAGAATGTTCGAGTGTTTTCACTCACGTATTATAAATATTCATCGTCCATGACTTCAATGTGTAAGTTGGCCGGTAGTAGCACACCATCACGATCCCGTTCCAAAGATCCCCAAGAAACCAGGCTCTCCCATTCTCCTATTCTAGCCACCCTTTCCCACTACTCCTTAAACACGTAGTATACACATCGATCCTCACGCGGCGCACCCAATTCTCCCAGCCCGGGTACCGCGCGTGTGGTAAGACGAGAATTCGATCCCCCGATGCTAGGGCCTTGATCCAAGAGCCACGCTCGGCATCTGCCTCTGTGAGATCTCCAAGGTTCCACGATAGCGTATGGGTATGCCACTGTATATTCGCGCCGCGGTTATGCGCGAGGTAGATCTCCCTATTTGTGGTGCCTTGATCCTGTGGGCTTGCCAGATCTTGGGAGAAGGTGTTCCCGCGCCGGTGGACGTCGGCCGTGAACCAGGTCCAGCTCTCGCCTCTGCTTGGGTCGGAACAGTAGCCTTGGTCGTGGCTTGTAATTTCGAATACGATGCGCCGGACGGGTCGGGATGAGAGGCTGTTGATGGCCTTGCTAGTGATGTACGGTGTTAAGGGGTCGCCCCATCTTCTTACCTCGCCGCCCCTTTCGATACTAACTCGGATGCTAGTAGACTTGACCCAGTACTCTGCTAGATCGAGGATGCGGGATATGAGATAAGCTGACACGTGAGTGCATTCAGATGCCCCTATTTGTCGTCTAAGCTTTCTTTGCAGACATAACGCTGCCGTTATGGTGTCTTCTTCTTCTCTCGGCCATTTTTCAGGATCTGCTGCTGAGTTGGAGGAGCCAGCAGGCTCGTGAATCAAAGCATTTCCCCAAGGTTGCTGCCGTATCCAGGCGATGTCTTCGTCGTTGAGGCCGCTAATCTCTGTTATTGGACGTTGGGCCATAATACGTACGGCTTCTGCGAAGCGTTTCTTGATAGCAATGTCGAGCGGGGTGGAGCCGTTGAGGTCTTTGACGTTGATACTCGCGTTGGCCTTCAAGAGACTTGAACATATGTCAATTAAGTTTCCGTGTACGGCTAGGTGTAATGCAGTCTGCCCTTGGTCATTTTGGCAATCGATGTTAAATCCTTTCTGCCTCGACAGAGCTACCACAGCGTCGATATTGCCGCTTGCTGCCGCGTAGTGAACAGGCCGGTTACCGTTAGAGCCCGGAGCTCCATAAAGGTACAGATGTTTGAGCTTTTGCAGCAGGAATTCTGTATTTTCAGGTCTGCTCCCACCAGCAGCATAGTGCAAGACGCTATCAACACCGGGATTTTGTAGAAGGCTATCGTCTATTTTGCTTAACAACAGGTCAATCACAGAGGAACTTGAGACTCGAGCAGCAAGGTGCAGTCCCGATACCAGTTGAGATGGATAGAAATCGGGGAATTCGTGCTCATCGTGCTTCTTGAGGATAGTATCGACAGCTTGGATATTATTCCGGCGAATAGCTGCCTCAAACGGCGTATCTCCTTTTGTATCACGCCATTTAAGGAGGAGGCCGGCGTATGGACTATCCAAAAGTGTCTCGAGTATTCGAAGGATGCCTGAGTTCGCACCTCCATCTGAACTTTTGAACGCCAGAGAGGAATCTGCTACAGCTAAATGTAGCACCGTTCTTCTATGGAAGTCGCCAGTGAGGATTGATTCATTCTTTCTGCCAATCTCTTCAATCCTACTATGATGCTTCATGATACACTTAAACACGCTGAAGTCCGCCGTACGCACTGCCTCTATGAGTGCCGTGCTGAAATAAACATCACGTAAGAGTAGCAGCCTACCAAGCGGATCCTTTTGCATTATTGCCTCTATCAGGATCGTTTTATCAGACCCCTTCACAGCATGGGCCCACCATATGGCTTCCTCTAGTAGTGTCGTATGCCATTCTTGTGCAGACTTCTTATAAATATCGATTCCGTAATCTAAGAGGGCCTGAAGACTGCCGAGAGAAGCGTAGGCGACAGAAACCATTGCTACTGTCCAGCCGACGCCATGTCCAGCAGATTGGTTCGCATCTAATTCGATATCCGGGCTTTCCAAAAGTACCTTTATCGATTCAACTGAGTTGTTAAGACATGCCCAATGGAGCGAGTTTCCGAAACGTGTTCTATCGCAATCCATTGCTCCGGACGTATTCTTTAACAACCATTCGATTGTTACTCCAAACGGACGACTATCAGATTCATTCCTAATCACGTTGAAGAATGCGGCCAAATCCATCGTCGTACCCCTGACGGGCATTTCATCCCCAAGATCAATATCGTTAAAAATTGCGGAGATTCTACCTTCTATATTCCTGAGTATCGATGCGGTTGCGCGTTGAACGTGTTCCGGACGTTTAAGCAAGCTCAGTAACAACTCAGTGATATCCTCTAAGTAATCGGACTGTTCCGGATCAGGGAGATTTGACTCCTGGATGTAGTGATATCCAAAATGTATAGCCGCGTATGCAAAGAACGGCGCCTCATCTCCTATAGTCCAGATTTGGGCCAAGGGGCCGTTTGTTGAAAGGGTCAGATCATCGAGTCCAAGGAAGGAGATACAAGTTAAAGCTATTTCCCCGTGGCTATGGGCAAAGTTACGTGCATACTTCAGCGAATTGAAGTACTCCTGCGTGGTGTAATGAACGAATCTCACGGTCTTACTTTCGCCTTCCACAACCACAAGGCCAGCGCAGTAGTTAGTGATGTCACTCTCTTCGCCAATTGCATCTTCGTCGAGTTCTGTATCATCCGGGGTAATAGATAAGGCGCATAGAAGCTCTGCCAGTCGAAGGGGACGTCTTGCGAAACAGACCCATCTAATAACTTTCAGAGCAAACTTCTCTATGTTTACGCCCTGGTCTTGAATTCGTTCCATGGCTTGGTCATATGTATCCTTGATCACGTTTTCACCTTCAGGGATGCGGTCCAGCTCCCTTTTCAGGTCTTTAAGAGTGATCGCTCTACTCAAAGAATCCAAATGCATTCTGCATAGGAGGAACCTACGCGGCGTAGTCAGTATCTGATCATCGAGTGGAAGATGACGGATATCATTAAATTGCAACCTACATTCCGTTCGCCCTCTCGATAACCAGGCGTCGAATATCCCCCTCCAGCTCCGGTTTCCGTTTTATATAACCAGACATTTTCTTGGATTCTCGTATTCGTGCGTTTATATAAGTACTCATATCTTCGTTGGTGGGTATAAAACGAAAGGCCCGCACATCAGCAAATCCTGCATTGTCAAAATGTGTAGTCCGGGATGTGACCAATATATTAACTAAAGGCTGCAAGCTGCGCAGACTATCAATGAAGCCATTCCGTTCGTTCTCGTCCGCGCATTCGTCAAGGGCATCAACGACTATGTATGTCTGCCCTGGTGTACCATTGGTTAATTCGTCTCGGATCATGTTAATTATCTGAGTCCTGGATGGTTTAAAGTCGAAGCGGGCTAATATTTCTCCAAATAGTTGCCCGACCTCTGTAGCGGAGGGACCTCGCTGTCGGAAAAGCTGTGCCCAAAGGTTACCAAGCATCATCGATGCTTTCTGATCTTGGCGTTGACGATAGTCGCAGTAGAGAAATGCAAGACGGCCATCTCCACTCTCACTGACCTTGTCCCGGAGATATTCGATGGCTATTGAGGCCATAACTGTCTTTCCGGCTCCCGGTGCTCCTGAACACCACATAGCCCCCCCGACGGATTGCATCCAGTCTTGAAACTCTACTGACTCGAGAAACCATTGGCCAGTCCCGTCCTGCCTCTGCTGAACAACATTGCCATGCTTCTCAGAGAAGCTAACAGGAGCATAGTGTTCTACGATGCGATCTATTTTACCATTGATCATCTCCTCTTCCGCATGGTTGTTGAGTGCTTTGACACCGTCGTCAATCGCCTTAGTTGTCTGCTTGATGTCCAGTGTGAGCCAGGAATTAAGAAAGCCATTCATACGAGATGCCTTCTCAACCGTCGTCTGTATATCCTTTTCCATGTGAGCAAATCGTATTTTTTGCATGAATCCTTTAGAGCTCATTTTATCAAACTGGCGTGATAAGTCGATCATGCATCCTTGTAACTCTCGAATAAGGTCATCGGGTCCTAGAGGGCGGCTACTTGCTGCGGAAGCATCTGCATCGACCTGTCGCTTCACCTCATAAAGCAGTTGTAACATCATACTTGACGTACGACCAAGCTCGTCAATCATCTTTGAAGCGCCAATTACTGTGACGCAGTAGTGGAAGACTTTGGCTGTGATCTCTATTAACTGCGCGATGGACGCGACTGAACCCACGACCTCCATGGTTAGACTGCTCTGGCCTGCGGCCGAATATATCAATACAGGGCCCCAAACTCTTCACAATTCAA